ATGCTCTGACCTTATGTAGATCAGAAGTCTTATTGCCTAGCTACACCATGATGATGAAAGAATGAAATCTTCTTTCAGTGGCATGGCATGATTGGAAGTATTTTTATGGCTGCTGTTTTCATTACGCTATCTTTTATGTTTTACGGCAGGCACAGAAGTAGTAGTCATGGGGTTGTTGGCAGGGGGTGGGTGAGGGAATTCCCTAGCAAGGATGATGTCCTTCTGGTATATCTTGGACACGAGAGGCTAGAATTCTGGGCTTGTTCAAAGAAAGAGGATTTGAATTTCTGAAGAATGGACTGTTGTAGAAACAGAAGTGCTTTGTTAAAGAGTTTGGCCAGGTCATGACTCTTATCCTAAGAAAAATATTTGTTTTTCTCAATTCAAACAAAAACAACAAAGAATGAGCTGGTTTATGCCTGCTCATTTCTAAGGAGCTGCCTCATGTTCAAAATGACAAAACAAGCATCCAAGTCAACATGAAGGGGGACTATGTGAGCTCCTCTTTATATGCTGGTGATAAAGGTTATGTCCTTATTTTGTGTGTGGTCCTGTTTGGAATACAGAACACCTGCCTAGCAAGAAAGAATGAAGTTCTATTCCTGTGCAAACAGATGGTGGAATTTCTTAGAAATTCCTGAGTAGTATGAACCTGAGGGTATATGAGATTTGTCCAAAAATTCAGGGTGTATCAAACTGGTGCTTCCAACTCATTTCTGGTTTTGAGTTTATGCATTTATATCAGTAGTTTGACCTTTTTTTTTTTTTTTTTGCTGTACTGGGTTTTGAACTCAGGGCCTACACCTGGAGCCACTCTACCAGTCCTTTTTTGTGAATAGGTTTTTTTCAGATAGAGTTTCTGAACTATTTGCCTAGAACTAGCATGGAACCATGATACTCCTGATCTCTGCCTCCTGAATAGCTAGGTTTACAGACGTAAGCCACTTACACCCAGCTAGTACTTTGAGTTTTGATGAAGGATTGGAAAGTTAAATGTAGTAGAAAAGGGGGAGAAAGATCAGAGAGAACTCCAAGATAAGCAAGATTGGACAGTGTTTTGTAATCACCACTGACAGGGATTCCTGAATTGCTAAGATGTGGGTAAGAGATTTTTTTTCTTAGATCTGTGCAAAATGGGGCAAATTCCTGACCCCATCTTGTCCACTGCCTTGGGGCTTTTGTTTTTTTCGGAAAAATAATAGAGTTAAAATGAAGTGTCTTGTTCAATTCTGATTGTTTTCCAATCTCCTAATATTTAAAAAAAATTTTAAGATAATTGTTCATTAGCATGTAATCATAAGAAATAATATAAACAGGGGTTGAAGGCATGGCTCAAGTGGTACAGCACCTGCCTAGCAAGCACAAAGCCCTGAGTTCAAACTTAGAAAGAACCCATCCTTTTATCAGGAATCAGATCCCACAGTAACTGACCCACTCCTGTGACAGTGGCATCAATCCATCCATTAGCTGGTGCATATTCCAGAGTTTTCTTTTCTTTTTTTTTAGAAACTACCAAACTGTCTTCTAAGGTAGCTGTACCATTTTATATCCTCACAGGCAACAGATGACTGATCCAGTTTTGTTGAATTCTTGCTGGAATTTTGTGTGGTCATTATTTTTATTTTAGTTACTCTAAGAGATGTACAGTGATGTCCAGTTGCAATTTTAATTTTCACTTACCTAATGTCTAAGGAAGTTGAATATCATTTCATGTGTCTATTTGCTTTCTGTTTAACTGCCTTTTGTTAAATCTCTGTTCATGTCTTTTGCCCATTTTCCAATTGAAACAATTTTTACTGTTGAGTTTTGAGAGTTCTTTACATATCCTAGATACTAGTTCTTTGTCAGATATGTAGTTTGCAAATGTTTTCTCCTAGTTTATAATTTGCATTTATATCCACATGGGTAAAGGTTTTTAATTTCGATGAAGTCCAATTTATGACTTTTCCCTTTTACAGATTATATTTTTTGGTGTTAAGGCTAAGAACATGTTGCTGTACCCTAGATCCCAAAGATTTTCCCTTTGTTTGCTTGTGGTTTTTTTCTTAGAAGTTCACCATGTTATAGCTCACACATATGTGATGGGCTGTTGTGAAAAAACAGAGAAAAGCCAACTGTATACAGATAGGACTGAATCTTCTAATGACTATCTGGCACATAGATAAACAAGGAAACTTATTCTGCTTCCTCACTTGGCAGCCAATACTTTTTAAAGTAACAAAGCTACTGAGTACTAGTTAAATGAAGAAGGCAAATGAAAATTTTATTCTGATTTAGTTACGATTTCTGAAATATTGGAAGACTTAAGAATAGCGACTGACATGGATGGGATCTGAAGTAAAAAAAAAATTAAAATTGTAGATTGTCTGAGTTCAGAGTCGTTCATGTTAAACCTTCCAATTTTGAAATAAGCCCAGGTATGTGAATTACCTGTGAGCTCCTGAACAGTACAGGTGAAGAAACCTTATCTGAAATGCTTGGGACCAGAAGTGTTTGAGATTTCAAATTTTGGGAATATTTATGGAATATTTGCAATACACAATGAGATCTCTTAGGGAGAGGACCCAAGACCAAATATGAAATTCATTTGTTTCATATGCAAATGTAGCCCAAAGGTAATTTTATACACTTAAAATAATTCTGTGCCTAAAACATTGGAGATTTTCCACTTGTGGCATCATGTCAGCCCTGAAAAAGTTTTGGATTTTGGAGTATTTTGGGTTTTAGACTTTTGGATTAGGAATGCTGTATAATATTAATAATTCAACTGTCACCTTTACTTTTTCTTTTAATTGTTATGCTGGGTGGGGGTATCTTGTGGCATTTACAAAAGTTCTTACAATATATCAAATATATCATAGTTGAATTTGCCCGCACCATCATTCTGCTTTATCCCCTCTGCCCCCATTCCTGGAGTAGTTTCAACAGGTCTCATTTTTCCATTAACATACATGTATACACATGTCTCATTTTTCCATTAACATACATGTGTACACAGTATTTGTACTGTATTCACCCTCCTTCACGCTTCCTTCACATCCTTCTCCCATACCCCCAGGCAGGACCTGTTCTGCTTTCCTATACTCCAATTTTGTAAAAGAAAAAAATGACATTTTTGTTTATTTAAGATAGCTACACATCACCTTTACTTTTATTCACTCAACACTTATCATTTTGTTCTGTGCTTTTTTTTTAAAGTCATCTCATCTTTCCCTTATAGAAAAAGTATGAAATACCTTCTCATTTGTCTTTAAAACAACATCATCATCTCCAGAACGTTGCCTAGGGTTAGTACAAAGTATCAGATCTGCCACGAATATTTTATCAAATTGATTCTAAATAAATAGCAAAAGTATTCCTGAAATGATTGCAGACAGAAAACACAGAAGAGCAATGTGTAGGGTGGGGCTCAGGAGGAAGGTGGGGAGGGTTAAGTTGGTGGGGCTCATACACGTATGTGTGCCAGGTCATTCTTAGCAGCATCTGCTTAACCATATACAGCCTCCCCAACTCCATCCATCCTCCAACATTGGGCCCTCAAAGCCTGAAGTTCATGTACTTACTTCTCAGCCTCCAGAATTGGGTCTCTTCCTCATCTATTTTATCATTTAGCTAGAATATATTTGTAAAGAAAAATTCATGAAAAGAAAATAAATTTCTACTTATATGTATATTTTGAAGTTTCATCCCAGCCTTGTTTATAATGTTTTTCCTGTCAAAATTAAACAAAAAAATTTTTTATTAGATTAACCCTCTATTATTACTAAATGTAAAACCTACAAATTAGGGTTGAGCATGGTGGAACATAGCTGTAATTCCAGCTTCTTACAAGGCAGAGATCAGGAGGATCACAATTCAAGACCTGCCCATGGAAAAAGTTAGTGAAAGCCCCACCTCATTCAACAAGTTGGGTGTGGTGGTACTTGCCAGTAATTCTAGTTACTCTGGAGGTGGAAGTAGGAGAATCATGGTCCAAGGCCACCAAGGCAAAAAGCAGGAGACCCTGGGCTGAAGGCATGCCTCAAAAATAGAGCTAGCAAGTGTGAAGCCCTGAGTTCAAAAAACAAACAAACCACAAGACCTTGTTAAAGAACAAACTAAAGCAAAAGGCCCAGGGGGGTGGCTCAAGGCCTTTTAAAAGGGAAGTGGGGAGACATTTCATACTTGCTTGCCTAGCAAGTATAAGGCCCTAAATTCAAACCCCAGTACTGCTTTGGAATTAATAATGAAAGACAGGACTGTAAAATACGGTATGTGGGGGTACTTGCAGGAGGGGGGAAGGTGAAAGGAGGAGATGAAGGTGAGGGAATATGGTTGATAGGCTTCATATACATACAAGAAATAGAATGATGAAACCTCATGTAATTGCTTTAAGTAGGGCGGGGAGGGGTTGGTTGTGGTGGTGAGTGGAGATGGTGGGAGCAATCTAACAAATGTACAATGTAAGGCCATTTGGAATTGTCATAATGAATTCCCCTGAAAATGAATATGTGCTAATAAAAATGGAAAAAAAATTGAACAAAAACACTGCAAATTAGCTTACAATTGGGGAAGTCAGTACTCTAACTGCTGTTGGCTTTTGATACCCCACTGGAGATACTGCTCCCTGGGGAATCTGCAAGCAATGATTTTCATCACACCAGACCATGGGGAATGGGGGCTGGGAGGTAAAGTATATTTTTTCCCCAGAGGACTGACATGACACTAAATTTTCACAAATTGTAATAAGTCAGCCTAAAAATTGATCTAATAATATAGATTGAGAGCAAAATTCTATTATTGTCTGGCACTAAATCACTCTCCTATGATAAAATCAGCTGACATTGAATTTTTGGGTGCGTTTTTTCTTTAATTTCCTTTTCCATTGCTAGCCACACCTAATGAACTAAATCATAACTATGTCCCTATTTTTTCATCATATTAAATACCCCTCTCTCTCTCCCTCCCTCCCTCTCTCTCTCTCCCTCTCTCCCTCTCCCTCTCCATTTTTCCTATCCCAGTGTCCCATTTCCCAGAGGAACACTTCATTTCGACAGCCGAGGAGAGCGCTTGGATGCTCAAGGTGAGGTTCAAATATAAATTATTTATTGTTTGCAGATTAAGTTGCAGCTTTGTAACAAATTTATTTTCAAAATTCTACTAGACAGTTCAAGCCAATATTTGAGTGAATATGTTCCATGAAAACATTGTTTTCAAACTAAGTGTACTATGGGTTAATTGACTGCTATTAGCAGTTCCTCAAAAAATGGTCAATTAAAGTTTCATTTTGGAGATCTTATATATATTTGTGATAAGTGGAGGGGGAGACTATCAAGATAAGGTAAAAGAGATCTAATTTCAAATTACATGTGAATAAATGATTTTTACTTGGTATTGTTAAAAAGCAAGATAACCATTTTGTAGGAAGGAGGAAGGGAGGAAAAGGGAGGGAGGGAGGGAAGAGACAGAAAGAGAGAAAGAATAGGAATTTCTTGTGGCAATGCCAAAGACCCAAAAAGCCCCATTTTTTCAATTTGCCATTTGTCTTTGAGATATATTCACTTTGACCTTCAGTGATTTCCCACTGCTACCCTGAGTCTTTCTAATATTACACCTTCAAGGTTCATCTCCAGGAGCTCCCTAGAACAAAGGAACAATTAACTAAAATTCCACCAGATGGCAACATTTGGAAAGCCATTCAGAGAGGTTTCAAAGCCATGAGTTATTAGTGTTCACGTGGAGAACAGTATGAGTTTAATGTCCTAGATTTCGTCAAAGACACACTAAAGATCTTTTTGCTCCTTTCCCCACCCTCACAACATTTAAACATTTTTTTATCTTAAAAAAAGAAGGTATGTGTTCTTTCATTTTAAATTTTGTAAGGTTGGATTAGAAAGTTCATTTGTGCATAGTAACTCTCCAAGTTATATTGGTACTAAAGCCTCAACTCTGTGGGTACCTTTGCCTTGGTGTCTCATTGCGAGACAGTCTTAAGAGTGATGGTTATTGTTAAGTAACACAGATGAAAAAAGATACCTGGAGTTCTTTGCCTACCAAAGAGCAGCTTGTTAAGTTGCCTTGATTTATGCCAATACAAAAAAATTTAAAAGAAGTTGCCCTGATATTAAAGCGAGAGAAATTTGTAGGTACAAAATTCTTATTTGTATCAACTTGGAATAATTAAGGGTTTTAGATGTAATGAGTAAACTTCCCCTTTCACTGTAATGAAAGTGGAGCTTTGGAACCCAGGTGCTAGCCCAGAGGCTGATTCTGCAGGGGCCAGTTCAGGCTTTAAGGCAGAGTTAGGCCAGAGGACAGGAAATGGCAGCTGGTGACAATGGAAACAGGAAAAACCAAGAAGAGAAGTGTCTGTTTTCCATGTACTCATAGAAGCCCTCCCTGAGCAGGCACTGGGCACCTTTTGAAAACTGATCTTGTGCTGTTGGCCTTTTTGGTGGGGACAGGGCACATCTGTCTGAACTGTGTCTGGGACATCGAAGTTTACTACTAGTGCTCTGGTGTAGGGTGTAGTTACATCCTCTTTCACGCTCAGAAGGGTCTCTGTTGGATAATAAATTATATCCTCACCTTATATTCCAGACTGGCATGTTTGAAGAATAAGTAATAGGAAAAGGTGGCCCATTTATAAGTGGGGTGTCTCTATAAATCTTATATCCAGGGCTATAAGACAAATTCTTCACTTTTGTAAAGAGCCAGATAGTAAATATTTTCTGCCTTGCAGGCCAAACAGTTTCTATTACAATTACTTAACTCATGAGCTGAAGATATAGCTCAGTGGTAGAGCACTTGCCTAGCATGCATGAAGACCTGGCAAACAAATACTTGTTTATCTCACTGTAATTTGAAAGGAGCCATAGACCATACATAAATGAGTGGGCTTGGCTTGTTTAATAAAACTTTATTTATAAAAGCAGGCTGCAGCAACTTTTGACCTGCAGGCCAGTTTGCAGACACCTGTCAGGGGTAGAACAGGGTGGGGAACCAAAAAGACAGCTATCATTCATTCCTGTCCTTTCTCCGCATCTCCCAGCTTTGCTCATCCCTGATGAACTAGTGCATGTTGAGTTACTTTTAGCTGGAATGCTTTTGGAGCACACCTGTTTTAGATTTAGGGGTTTTTTTTTTCAGGTTTTGGAATATTTGCATATATAAGATATCCTGGGGATAGGACCAAAGTCTAAACCCAAAATTCTTTTGTTTTTATGTTTCCTGCACACTTTACACATGTATCGTGTAGGTTATTTTAGACAATCTTTTAGTGTGTCTGTGTTTTGACTGTGACCCATCATATAAGGTCAGGTTTGGAATTTTCCATTTGTGGTGTCATATCAACACTCAAAAAGTTTCAGATTTGGGCACATTTCAGGTTTCAGAATTTTGGATTGGGGTGCTCGACTTATATTGATAGTGTTCTTGAGTGGAAATCCCATCACCACTTAAGTGTTTCTGAGAGTTCTCTGCTGGTCTACCTGCTTGATTCTCCTCCAGATCTGTTTCTGTACCATGTATAATATACCTGAGTTTTATACCTCATGACATATTTGGATATGCCTGAGTCCTAGAGTTTAATAATGATGCAAAACCGAGTTAGTAGGCAACTTAATTTTGTGCTTTGGTCCTCAGTAGACTACTATCTTATCAGAAATATAGCTAAATTAAGGAAAGTTCATGTTTACTATACCAAACTTTTTATTTAAAATAATATAATAAAGTTAAAGGAAATGTTAGGGGAAGTGATAAATAACAACATCATACCAAATTATTATTTTTCTATTTTTGCATATCTGCTTTTCCCATAAGCATTCTTGTTTTTCCACAGTGGATACCAAAGTATGTGTGAACTTTTATATTACACATAAACATCTTTCATGGGTCATCAGAACTATCCGTGGAATAGTAGAATTCTGTGTCAATGTACCACAACGTATGCTTTAATTCCTACTGTTTGCTAATTTTCCCTACAAATTTCTATGCATACTTTGTCATAGTTTGGTTTTATTTGTGTTAGTTTATCTGCTTCCTAAGGACAAAATTCCCCCAAATGGGATCCCAATTCAAGAATATGATCATTTTTATGGTTTTGAATCTAGTTTACCATATTTTCCCAAAAGGAATAATTTATAAACATATACAATTTGAGGGTACTAGTTATACCATAGTTTATCAGAAAGAGCATTTAGTTTATTGAATAATAGTTATTGAATGCCTAACTATCTTTAGGGCACTGCGCTAATTGTTTTGGTCTATCTATCTGTCTATCCATCCATCCATCTATCCAGCCAGCCAGCCAGCCATCCATCCATCCATCCATCCATCCGAATGATGTGCCCACTCCACATTTATTATGCCTACTATGAACAAGGTACTATAAGGCTTCAATAGTTAGCAAAAGATGAGATCTGTCTGAGTTTGACTTTGACTTTATGGGAGAGCTAAGATACATACATAAATAACTATATAATAATATATAGAAAAGGAGCTGTAACATAGGAGAAATACAGTTTGAGTATTATGGAAGTTTGGGGATGGAGGAGGTAGAGATGGAAGCTGAGCTGAACCATGAAAATAAGTTGGTTTTGGATACTTGGGAATGGTGCTATTTATCACTCATTCCATAAACATTTATTGGTTACCACCTATTTTGCCAAATTCTGTGCTAACAGCGGGGGATATAAAGGTTAACAAGACAGAGGTCTAGTGAACAGGTTAACAAGCACATACCATCTAGTGAAGCAAAGAGTCTTTAAAAGGAACTGTCAGGATGATGATTAAGATATCTTGTCTGGCAGAGGATACATGGGGGTAGGGATAAAATAGGGTTTCCTTTGGAACGAAGATGTTTTTTGTGGCTCCTCTTTTGACATCACCTTCCCCATCAACTATTTGTCAGTCTGTGGGAGATCTGCTTCTAGAAGTTTGAAGATTGTTGTTGTGTTTTACTAAGCAACATTGCCATTAAAGTTGGCCAGCATGGACAGTGAGTACCTTACTAAGAGTGTACAAGGCCCATGCCTGGGGTTGGCAAGACCTATATACAGGCCCTCACCAGCTGATGACTAAAGCAGTTTCTAAGAACTGTAAAATTTCATTTGTGTTTTCTGTTTTAAACAGCTAGAAGGATTCTCAGTGGTGTTCTAATCCAACTTGCTTATTTGACAGGTGAACATTCTTGTGTGTGACTTGCCTAAGGTAAGATAGTTAGTGATAGAGTCATAGCCCCGAGCTTTCCGATTCTGATTCTCATTGTTTTGTGCTTACTACTATAATTTTTCTTGGCTTCATTTGTACTATACAGATAATAAGAACTACCACAGCAAAAAATTAATTTAAATAGAAATGGATAGATGAGTGGTAGAAAGAGGGTACTTGGAACACAGTCTTACATCTACTCATCTCCTTCAGAACCTGGGCCTCACTGAGCTCCACGTTCTCCATAAACACATCTTGGGTTTATTGGGAGAAAAGCAGAGATACTGTAAGTGTTGGGTACATCATGGACTCTCAGAAGTATTTGTGCTCTTCCCCCTAGAGATACCAGTTCTTCACAGTATCTCTTTTGTTGATTAGTGAGGTTACCTTATGAGACTCACAAGAAACAAATGGTGAACTAAGTATATTTACAGAACTCTTTGGTGCAAGCCTAATGTTCTCATTTCTGAATTTCACTTAATTCTGCTTAAGTGGAGAGAGGTTTTTATTCATGATTTCTCCTTTCTCCTTTTCTTCAGTAGCTAATGTTTTGTGTTCCATAAGCATGCTGACAAGACTACAGAATTAATTTATTTTCTCTGTGATTTATTCTGAAATGGTCTGTCAAATAAATACAGAAAGATGGATTACTGGATAAAGAAGATGTGGCTTAATGGTAACAATTGCTGAATATAGTGGGTATATATGTATATGTTATATTGTTATAGTTCTATGTTTCTATATTTCTGGGTGTTTGAAATGTCCCGTGTCAATTCTTTTGAATCATGTATTAAAATTTATTTTTTGGAGAAAGGGTCTTACCTACGTACCCCTGGCTGGCCTTGAGCTCATGATCCTCCTGCCTCAGCATCC